AACTATTCTTGCATTTCTATTATTTGCAGCTGATAAGTCCCTTGACTAGTGCATTAAGTTCTTCTCGTCTGGTATAGACCTGCCTTTCTGAAGTCATTTAAAAATATAAATGATGAATGTGTCTTCCTTGGATTCAGCAGATGTAAGAATGTAATAATCAGCTATGCCATGTGAAGTGAAGAAGTTAACCTTATAAATTTTCTCTTACAAAGACTAATGGAAGATTAATGCTTTCTAATGGTCATAGTGTTTGAGATTTAAGGCACGGTATCAGTTCTACAGCTGAATCTACAGCTCAGGTGCAATATATTTCAGTAAGCCACCAATCAACTGGTTTACACATTTGTTGTTTCACCTATAAAGCCACTATAATCATATGTTGCATGACGAGTATAAAATTTAATTATTAGCTATAAATCTCTGAGATCCTAAAATGATAGCTACTTTGTTACTTCAGCGTTACACTACGACAGCACTAAGAGTTTCCAAGATTCCCACCATAAATACACCTTTACAAAAATTTGTTAATTTGCACATGTATAAATCTTTTATTGACAAACTTACAGCTTAGATTTCAAACTTTTCTCTGTCAATCAGGATTAGGTTCAGCTGTATATAAGAGAAATCCAATATAAAGGTGGATTAAACCAGACAGAGCTTTTTGTCTTACATAAAACAAGTACAGAGGTAAGCAGTCATGGGCTGACACCACATCTTCCTCATGTCATCAGGGATATAGGCTCCTTCCATCTTTCCTCACCATTATATGATGTCCACCTTTAAGGCCACGTCTTGTTTTTAGTTTGGTTGCTGCAATTCCCACCATTACGTTCATGTTTTAGGAAGCAAGGAGAAAGGGGAAAGGTCAAAAGAGTCAGCTTCCAGGCAGAGTCAGCTCCTTATATTGAATTTTCTCAGAAACTACTACCAAAACTCTCACTTACCTGTCATTGGCTACCTCTAGCCATAATAAGGCTGATGTATTTAGTTGCATAGAAGGGTACATTGCCACATCTACACTCTAGGGAGAGTTTTGCTACTAAGAAACAAGAGGATGGATAACAGGTTGACAATAGCATTCTTTGCCACACTTTAAAAAAAAAACAAACTCTTTTCCATGTCCTTCTAGAACATTGTAATCGTTCGTCTATTTTTCATTCAAAATTAAAATTTAAAGCAGTTATCGGAGATTTATTAAAAATCATTTTGTTTTTTTAAATTTTGTGGTATCATTCACTAACATAGCAGGTATTTTTTTAGGGTACTTTCTTGTATCAGGCACTTTGATAAGTGAAGGGATGCAATATAGAACACATCCCCGCTTTCTCAGAGTTCACAGAACATTTGTTCAGTAAATTAATTATAATAAATGATGCCCATTTTGAAGGGTTACCCTCTATAATATAGCATTACTACTTAGGTAATCAACTGCATGTACTATTATAGCATAAAAATACACTCTCCTTTATCAGATGAATACTTTCATAGTTTCGAGATGCCTGATATAGACTTGAAGACAAATTTTAGATGTCAATATAATGCAAAGCATTCTCTTTGCAAAAAACTATAATTTTGATTTCACCTCCCAAATTCCACAAGGCTGCAGCCTCCTTAGCACTGCTTGTCTCCTTCTAAAATGTCCTTTCGATAAATCTTACTTTTCCTAAAAAAAAAAAAAAAATTATAATTTTGGTCCAATAATAAATTTTCAAGTGAAAATATTAATATAACCCCAGCAAATGGAATAATTAAAAATATAGCTAAAATCAGGGTTTCCCGAATTTTTAATCAGAAAGAAGAAGATAGTGCTAGAGGGAAAACAGATAAATTAAACCATAAAGAAGAACTATAAATATTTGGTTATATTTTTCACGTAAAAAATCAGGTAAGAGAATATTTTGTCTTATGGAAGAATGGGGCTTTATTCAATTTCTTGGTAATTCATTTTTGAAAGTTCCTAGATATGTTTTTAAGAAGTTCTAAAGCATACGATATAATAACGACAGATTGTTATCGTGTTATAAATGACAATTCTTATTTTATTGCCTTTAACACACAAGCGAACTGTATTTTACTTCGAGCATAGGATCAAGTTGAAATTGGCCAGCTCCGATTTCAACTGGCTCCAAATTTCTTTATCTGAAACATTTGGAACATATGAACATGCCATATATGGAAAAATGGACAATATTTCTTATACCACTTGTCTGAGTTAAGAGACAAAAAAAGGGAGGGAAAAAGCCCACAGAACACTTATTTTAACAAAAAAACAACAAAGCTAAATTTTTCATTTAAAAATCATGAGTTATAGTTTTTAAATGAATATAAAGCATAGGAATATAGAATTATATTCCTTGAGTTATAGTTTTTAAGTGAATATAAAGCATAGGAATATAGAATATATACCCTTTCCCATGAGGTTGGTATTACCCATTTGGGAGTGGTTCTCTTATCCAGTAACTTTTAGGAATGGAATTCACTCTCCTGTGTTTTTAAAATTAGGAGAAAAGTTTAGAAAACTGGATTTCAAGCTGGGGTACATAAGCATTCCTATCCCCATTCAAGATGCATCCCTTACTTTTGTTCTCTCAACCCGAGTGCCTAAACAGTACCTAGCGCATAATAGAGATAAATATATATATGAGTGAGTGAAGTATGAATAAAGGAATGAAAGTTTAAAGTTTCAAATAATTCTGCCCATATCCATTCACCATCTCCCTCTCAAAAACTTCCTTTGAAAGGATGGATGTTGTTTTACTTCATAAAGACCACAGAATGAAGAAAGATTGCAAAAATTATGACTTTAAAATGTTCGATGAAATGGCATATGTGTTTTTCAGTTTGTCTTCCTAGACTTCGCAATAATAAATTGTTTGAGGGGAGGAGCTCAGGGATTATTCCTTCAGAAGCAACTGCTAACTGTATGACTGCTTGCTTTGTGTTGGGCACTGAGGTAGGTGTAAGGAATGAAGTGTGAACATATATATAAGTTCCCTGTCTTCAGATTCAGGTGTTTCTCCATCATCAAGAGTATTCCGTGTAAGCATGAATCTTTTTAAGTTTGGTCTATCCAGAAGTTTTCCATCCTATCCACCTCCCTCCCTCTCTCTCTCTCTCTCTCTCTCTCTCTCTCTCTCTCTCTCTCTCTCTCTCTCTCTCTCTCTCTCTCTGTCTCTCTTTACTTTGCTTACCATTTGTTTATACTGAGGTATAATCATGATATCAATAAACTGCTTATTTTAAGTGTACAACTTGATATCTTATATATGTACACAACCATGACACAATCTCCACAATCAAGATAACGAACATATCCATAACCCCCAAAAGCTTCCTCAAGCTTCTTCCTCCCTGCCAAGTCCCCCTCACACAGGCAACAACAACCTACACAGAAGTCCCCAACCTTTTTGGCACCAGGAATGGGTATTCCTATAGGAACTAATGCCTGATGATCTGAGATAGAGCTGAGGCCGTGATGCTAGCACTGGAGAGCAGCTGCAAATACACATGAAGTTTCACTCATTCACCCCCCGCACACTTCCTGCTGTGCGTCCTGGTTCCTAACAGGCCACAGACTAGTACAGTCCACAGACTGGGGGCTGTGGACTCCTGATCTACAGTGCTGCCACATTAGATTAGTTTGTATTTTCTAGAGTTCTATGTGAATGGAATCATACAATAAGTCTGGCTTCTTTTGTGCAGCAAAATTATTATGAGGTTAATCCATATTGTTGCATGTATCAATAGTTCATCCTTTTTTATTGCAGAGTAATATTTCCTTACATGGAGATTATATATATATACATATATATGTAACAATTTGTTTGTCCATTCACCTGTTGAACATTTAGATTGTTACCTTCTTTGAGGCAATTAAAAATAAAGCTGCTGCCTTGTTGGAAAAATAGCGCCCCAAAAAGCTAAACATAAAGTTGCCATATAATTCAATAATTTCACTCCTAGGTATATACCCAAGAGAAATATAAACATATGTCCCCACAAAATCTTGTGCATAAATGTTCATAGAAGAATTAATCATAATAGTCAGAAAATGGAAACAACTCAAATGTGCATCTACTGATGAATAAATAAAATGTATAACAATGGGATATTATTAAGCAATAAAAAGTAATGAAGAACCGATACATGCAACAACCTTGGAAACATTGTGCTAGATGGAAGAAGCCAAATACAGAATTTGCTAGATGGAAGAAGCCAAATACAGAATTTGCAATACACCTGCCAGAGCAATCCTTTACCAAAGGAAAAAAAAAGTTTGAGCTCCTCACTCTTCTGTTCAAAATCTGTCAGAGGCTTGACAATTAATTAAGAGACCCACGGGATGTTGTATGCCATCCCACGGAATACAACTCTGGAGTCCATGCTGTAAAACACAATGCCATCCAGGCCTGCCTTTCTAATTACTTTGCAACGTTTACGTCCTGCGTATCCCCACTGGAACGTAAGCTGCATGTGAGAGCTTCTTTTAAAAGCTACTGTTATCCCTAGCAGAGAACAATGCCTGCAAGCCAGTTCTCAATAAAGCCTGAAAAATGGGTTAAATTATCACTTGAGGGGGAAAAAAAAAAGATGATCGGGTTTAGCAACAAATGTATGCCCCAAAGGCTGTTCTAGACTGCCAAGAGCTGGTTAACCTCCGTGGACTGTAAGGGAGGCAGGACCGAGTGGCTGGCGCCTTAAGTGCGGCCTGAGACACCTGCAAAGGGAAGAGGAGGCCAGGCTGGAACGGAACAACTGTTCTGATCACAAGTAATTTTCGTTCATCCGACAGTCTTAAAATTTCAAGGGAGAGGTGAGCTAAGTGAGGAGTAAGCGCAGCAGCAATACAGACGAGAGCCAGTGACATTTTCAGAAAGCAGCGCGAGGGGACGTACGGAGGCGGCTCCGGAGGGCACGCCCTTCCGTCCCCAGCCTCGGCCACAGCGCGCGGTGGGATTGGCCCCCGTGGCCCCGCCTGTCCCGGTGACTCCACCCCTCAAGGCCCTGCGCAAGGTGACCCGGAAACGGTTGTGAGGCGCCACCAAGAGTGCCAGCTCCCTTTTCCGGTCGGCGTGGTTTGCGAGTGGAGCGTCCGTTGCGCCCGGGCCTTCACCATGAGCGTCCCGGCCTTTATCGACATCAGTGAGGAAGATCAGGTGTGCTCCCGCGCCGCGGGGGCCGCCCAGGCGGGGGTGGGGGCGTCCTCAAGCGCGTGAAGGGCCGAGTCGGGGCTGAGCGGCGGGACGCCGCTCCTCGATGCCGGCTCCAGGGCTGAGAGCCGCAGCTCACGCCTCCACACGCGGCAATGCGGAGGCCGCGAGGCAGGGACGTGCGTTTCTGGCCTGGGGTTGCCCCAGCCCGGTGGCCGGCAGCCCCAGCCTTGGGCCGGAGGCTTCGCGACCGACTTCCTGGTTGGCGTCGCGACTCTCAGCCCGGAGTCACTCCTTGACGACACAGTCCTTTTTGACTCTTTAGGAATGGTATCTGCTTCCGTCCCCCAAACGCAGCCACATCCGAAGTGGGAGGTGGCGAATATTTAGACGAAGCAGTCTAGGGAAAAATAATTTTTTACTAAAGATCAAAATGGTGGTGGTATGGTATCACAAAGGCACAGGTGACCTTTGTTTTATACATAGACGATATTTTGCATTTTCAGTGCTTAAGAGTGTGAGGTCTGTAACCTGAAAACATTACGTCAGTTCCACCCTCATACTTTCAGGCATACACCTGGTGAACCTTTCTAGTACTTTTAAATTTTCTGTTTGGGGTTTACTCGTTTAGTATGCATGGTTAATGCTTCTCATTTTCCCCGTAACAGAAGTTAAACTGTAGTTGGTGATCTCTTAAGTTAATTTCGCAGATCTGAAAACTACTCTTGAAGGCTTAACGTATTATCATTCTGTATTTTTCTGCTATTCCACGAACATGGAAATTTTGTTTTCCGTAAAAGAAAACATCATTACTGTTCTTAACTTTTAAATTGCAGGTGTGATTATTTTTCCCATGGTAAAAATGTAGACCCTTGGCCTTGAAGACCAAAGTAAGAAGCAGACATGAAAATGGAAAAAAATTTTTTAAAAAGAAAGGGCAGAGAAGGAGTTGAGCACAGAAAAATATGGACAAGGAAAAAAGCATATTTTATTGGTAATGGTATCATTATCTACAGTTAACTATTAGGTTACTGAAAGGTATATATTTTTTTAACATAGAAAAGTATCTGTAGATGCAGGAAGTTAACTTTTGTTGAGCATATTTTAATGTTAAAGTGTGATTTCTAGTTAGGTTACGCTGTTTTTGTAATCAGTTTCATACTAGCCATTCCTTTTAGGTCAATAGGTGATTGCTTCAGGAGTGTAACTTTGATTAAATTCTCTAGAGTTAAATAGAGTTCAGAAGAATCCTTATTTCTTTTCCTTTGCTTGTACCACTCCACAACCACAACTTGTGGCCAGTGAGGATGACAGATAAAAACAATAAACTGTTGGTTGAGTAGTTCTTAGAAAAGTTCACATTTTGTCTACAAAGCAGAAACTGAACAAAATCCTTATTTTTTTTCATAGAGAAGCATACTTTACAGCGATATTTTTGGGTTCTCTGACATGGTAACAATGTTTTATGAAATCTTGTTTTAATACCGACTCATGTGAAGTTAACTATGTTGTTATCTGAAAGAATAGCACCATCAAATCTACAGATTTGATATACTGTTCTTAGGTAGCCAAACATATTTGAGGTTAGAAAATGTGATACCTATGCATTTTACTAATAGTGTCCATACAGCAAACTGAGGTTTCATTTGTTCATTTTATTGCCTTAAATACCATCTGCATTCATGTTTGGCTACCATAAATACTAAGCCCGCAAAAGAACAAGCTATTAAATGTTATATATGCATTAGAGTAGAAAATGTTTAAATACCTCAGTGCAGTACTATAGTTATACTTTCATAGGTCCAAAGGTGTGCTTTCTGGTTCTGATATGCATTTTGCATTTTAAAAGATTATATGGTAGAGTGGTGGCGATGGATGAGCTAGGGAAGAGGCACCTGATCATAATTTAAAGTCATCATTAAATACAGCATTTACATTTTTTTTCAGAAACAGAGTGGTGTGAGATCTTGTGTTTCCTCATTCATAGTTTTATAGACATATAGCAACCTTGTTTGATTTAATAGGCTGCTGAACTTCGAGCTTATCTGAAATCTAAAGGAGCTGAAATTTCAGAAGAGAACTCAGAAGGTGGACTTCATATAGATTTAGCTCAAATTATTGAAGCCTGTGATGTATGTCTGAAGGAAGATGATAAAGGTTTGTTTTTAATTTTTTGTAATATTTTTTACTAATTTTAAAGAATCTACTTTTAAAACTTCTTGTGAATTGTTTTGTTTCAGACCTTAGAACTTTTAAGCACTGTTGTTTCTAAACTTATCTTTGCACATACTTTCCATTCATTCTAATCTGTTGTACCTATGAAGTAAGCCTATTTTGAGAAAACATCTTTTTTTTATATCAGGCATGTTTTTTGAATGTTTATGGTATGTTTGTTTAGTGCACACACTAAATATGGATAATTTCAAAATGAACTGAAGAAAAAAATGAAGGACTTCTTTTCCATAATGTTTAGATTAATATCAAATGGAATATAATCTAAAAACCATTTAATTATTTGGCTGATGCCCTATTTATTGAGCTAAAATGGAAAAGTTTGAAATTGGGAGTCCCGATTAAGGTTTGAGTCTCTAGTTAAGGTTTGAGATCAAACTTGGTTTATGACTAATATCTTAACTTGAAAATTAGTGACCCTACCAGGAAGTAGACAGCTTTTATTTCTAAATCATTTCCTACTTGTATGTGCAAAGTTTTCTTCAGTTGGGAAAGCATCCTAGCCTAAGACCTAACCAGTAACTTCCACATGATTGAATATCGTGCTAGTAAAAATTTAAACCTTATATTTAGACATGTAAATCAGTCTTCTGCTTTAGTGGTTGCAAACCAAATCTTAGGTAATAGTTTCCTCCTTTAATAAAACGTACACGTTGTTTTCTGGGTGTTAGCTATACAACAGAGCTGGTTTAGTTTGAATTTGTGTATACTGTATTTTAGTATAATGCACACCATTGGAGGAAAAGTGGCCTCTAGAACTGTTTTACAGTAGCCAGATTACATCTCTTTAAAGTATCTTGTGTTTAATGGTCTTTGAACACTGGAAATACATATTTAACTAGATACATTCAGTATTAGAGTATCATCCTTGTTATCCTTACATGTGTAGATGTTGAAAGTGTGATGAACAGCGTGGTATCCCTCCTTTTGATCCTGGAACCAGAGAAGCAAGAAGCTCTGATTGAAAACCTTTGTGAAAAGCTGGTCAAATTTCGGGAAGGTGAACGCCCATCTCTGAGACTGCAGTTGTAAGTTACGGACCAAAAGAGGCCCTGTTTTTCTAGGGGCTCTTCATGTTACTGTCACTTGACTGTCAGCTGTAGCTCTTATAAGCTGTGTGACTTTGGACAAGTCACTTAAGCTTTCTGTGCCCCAGTTCTCTCCTTGTAATGTGAAGTTATTAATAGTTGCTGTCTTAGGTTTGTTGTGGGAGCTCCTAAACCTCAACTTAATCACTATAGTTACTGATCTCAACCTTTTTGTTTGTTTCGTTAACCAGGCTAAGCAACCTTTTCCATGGGATGGATAAGAATACTCCTGTAAGATATACGGTATATTGCAGCCTCATTAAAGTGGCAGCATCTTGTGGGGCCATCCAGTATATTCCAACTGAGCTGGATCAAGTAAGTTTTTACGTGGAATACTTACTTGTTCTGCTTGTCAGAAGTGTGGTTTTATAGCTAAAATTAGTAGCAGTTATGCGTGTTCTAAATGTTATATTTTAAATTGTGAAAAATAATGTTCAGCTGTTTTGCTAAATTTCCTCTTTTTGTCCGTTTCATCTTAGGTTAGAAAATGGATTTCTGACTGGAATCTCAACACTGAAAAAAAGCATACCCTTTTAAGGCTACTTTATGAGGCACTTGTGGATTGTAAGAAAAGGTATTCAGAATTAATGAACTAACTTAAAACTTAACAGGCAAAGTAAGTTGTTGAGGCCATTTTTCAAAGACAAATAGGGTGAGTGATTTTGCTCTACTTTGTTCTCCATGGAGTTGCTATAAATCTGTTTCTGTAAATTTCAACTATTAACAATAACTACAAAGTTTAAAATAGTTTTTCCCTATCTTTAAACTTTTTAACCCATTTCCCATTTGCCCCTTGAAAAAGTGTTTGTTCAGCTTCTCTGCTCATTTTTAATCAGGTTGTTTTTTTTGTCGTTGACTTGTATGAATTCTTTAAATATTTGGGAATTAGCTCCTTTTTAGAGGTAATGGTTGGCAAATATATTCTCCCATTCATTGGTTATCTTTTTGCTTTGTTGATGGTTTCTTGTGCTGTACAGAAGCTTTCTAGTTTGTTGTAGTCCCATTCATTTAATTTTGCTTTTATTTCCCTTGCCTTGGGGGTCAAGTTCATAAAACCCCTTTGAGACCAAGTCCATGAGTTTAGTGCCTCTGTTTTCTTTTATGCATTTTACTGTTTCAGTTCTTACATTCAACTCTTTCATTCATTTTGAGTTAATTTTTGTGTGCTGTCAGCAGTCTAGTTTCATTCATTTTGCATGTGGCTTTTTGGTTTTGCCAGCACCATCTATTGAAGAAACTCTCCATTTCATGTTTTTGGCTTCTTTGTGAAAACTTAGCTGCCCATATACGTGTGGGTTTATTTCTGGACTCTCAATTCTTCTGTTCCATTAGTCTGTGTCTTTTTTTTTTTTCCCCCCAATACCATACTGTTTTGATTAGTGTAATTTTGTAGTATAGTTTGAAGTCAAGAGAGTGTGATATCTCTAGCTTTGTTCTTTTGTCTCAGGATTACTTTGGCTTTTGGGGGTCTTTTGTGGTTCCATACAAATTTGAGGATTTTTCTATTTCTGTGAAAATGCCATTGGGATTTTGATGGGGACTGCATTAAATCTGTATATTGCTTTAGGTTATATGGCCACTTTAACAATGGTAATTTTTCTAATCCATGAACATAGATTATCTTTCAAAAGTGTGTCTTGTCGTTTTCAATGTATAGGTCCTTCACTTCCTTTGTAAAGTTTATTTCTAGGGGTGCTATCTTTTTTGTTGCCATTGTAAATGATATTGTTTTCTTCATTTCTCTACCTGCTATTTCTTTTTTAGTATATATAGGAGTATGACAGATTTTCGTATATTGATTTTTATCTTGCGATTTTACTGCTTTTTTGTATTGTTTCTAATAGTTTTTTTTGTGGTTTTAGGGTTTTCTATATATAGAATCATGTCATCTGCAAATAGTGACAATTTTACTTCATTCCCAATTTTGATGCCTTTTATTTTGTTCTCTTACCTTATTGCTCTGGCTAGGACTTTTTGTACTATGCAGAATAACAGTGATGAGAGTGGGCATCCTTGTCTTGTTCCTGATCTTGGAAGAAAAGCTTTCAGTTTTTCACCATTGAGTATGTATTAGCTGAGGGTTTGTCATATATGAACTTTTATTATATTGAGGTACTTTCCTTCTATATCCATTGAGTCTTTTAACATAAACGTATGTTGTATCTTTTTGGATGCTTTTTCTGTGGAGTAGCATTGATTGGTTTGTGGATGTCGGACTATCCTTGAATTTCTGGAGAGGCCACCTCTTGATCATCATGTATGATCCTTTTATGTATTGTATTTGATTTGCTAGTATTTTGTTAAGGATTTTTGCATCTGTGTTCATCAAAGATATTGGCCTGTATTGTCTTCCTTGTGTTGCCCTTGCCGAGTTTTGGTGTTGGTAATGTTGACCTCATAAAATGAGTTAGGAACTATCCCTCCTCTTCAGTTTTTTTTAGAGACATTTGAAGAAGATAGCTATTAAATATTCTTAGAATGTTTGGTAGAATTTACCAGTGAAGCCATCTGGTCTTGGACTTTTATTTTGGGACGTTTGTGATTACTGTTTCAGTTTACTTGTGATTGGTCTATTTCGGTGTTTTCTTTAGTGAGTCTAGCCAGAGGTGTGTTAGTTTTCTTTATCTTTTCAAAGAACTAGCTCTTTGTTTCATTATTTTTCTGTATTGTCTTTTTGTTCTCTGTTTCATTTATTTTCATTCTAATTTTTATTATTTTCTTCCTTCTACTGACTTTGAGCTTCATTTGTTCTTTTTCTAGTTCTATAAGCTGTAATCTTAGTGTGAGATTTTTCTTGTTTCTTGAGGTAGGTCTGTTAATGCTATAAGCTTCCCTCGGTATATTTTTTTGTTGCATCCCCAAAATTTTGATATGTTATATTTTTGTATGTCTCTGTATCTTTTTTTTAAAAGACTTTTATTAAAATATACCTAATAAATGTCTCTGTATCTTTTGGTCTCTTGTTTGTTCTTTGACCTAGGTAGCTGCTCAGCATGTTGTTTAATCTTCACACATTGTGTGGTTTTCCCGGCTTTCTTGTAGTTAATTTCTAGTTTCATAACATGATTGGAAAATATGCTGGATGTGATTTAAATCTTCTTAAATTTATGTGCTCCAATATATATGACTTGTCCTTAAGGTTGTTTTGTGTGCACTTAAGAAGAATGTATATTCTGTCACTTTGGGATGGAAAGTTCTGTAAATACCAATTATGGCTATTTGGTGTAATGTGTCATTTAAGGCCAAGGTTTCCTTGTTGACTTTCTGCTTGGGCGATGTATCCACTGCTGTCAGTGGGGTATTCAGGTCCCCTACTATCAATGTATTTTCTTCAGTTTCTCCCTTTAGGTCTCTTAGTAAATGCTGTATTTGTTTTGGTGCTCCCAGGTTGGGTGCATATATATTGATGAGTGTTATGTCTTCTTATTGAATTATCCCCTTTATCATTATAAAATGTTCATCTTTGTCTCGTTACCTTTTTTCACCTTGAAATCTGTTTTGTGTGATATAAGCATGGCTATACCTAGTTGTCTCTGGATGCCATTTGCTTAGAGTATCATCTTCCACCCCTTCACTTTGAGCTATGTTTGTCTTTGTAGCTGAGAAAGGTCTCCTGAAGGCAACATATAGTTGGGTCTTGTTTTTTAATCCATCCTTCTCTATTCTCTGCCTTTGGATTGTTGACTTAGTCTATCTACGTTTAGGGAGATATGTGAGAACTTAATACAGCCATTTTATCTTTTTTATTTTCTGGTAACTCTGTGTCTCCATTGTTTCTTTTCCCTTGTGTGTGTTTCTTCTATTTTAGTTTGGTGGTTTTCTATGATTTTTTTTCCCTTTTCCTCTTGTTTTATGTTACATGTCTCAACTCTAGATTTTTGTTTCATGGTTACCATTAAGTTTATGTAATAAAATGTTTTATGCATACAATAGCCCTCTTCTGATTGTGTCTTCATTCCTGTGCAAGTTCAGTCCTTTTTGTCCTCCCCTTTTATGTTTTTGTTTTCACAGATTATCCCTTTTTATGCCGTTTTGTTTCCAAATTGCAGATTTTACAGTCTTTTTTTAAAAGGCTTTTTTTCCTTTAACGTTTATGTTATAATTAAGTGTTTAATACCATATTCTGAAATAGAGTTGCAGTTTCCCTCTTCTGTCACTTATTCAGTTTTGTATACTTTAGTTTTTTTGTTTCAGTTAGAAGAGCTCCTTTCTGCATTCTTGTAGGTTTTATGAATTTCTTCAGCTTTAGTTTGTCTGGGAAAGCCTTTATTTCTCCTTCATATATAAGGGATAACTTTGCTGGATATAATCTTTGCTGGTAGTTTCTCTTTGGTATTTAGAATACTTCATTCCACTCTGGCTTGTAAGATTTCAGGTTAAAAATCTGATCATAATCTAATGGGGTATTCTTTGTAGGTTAACAGTCTTTTTTTCCCCTGGCTGCCTTGAGAATTTTTACTGTCATTAACTTTTGACAGTTTTAATAGAATGTATCTTGGAGAAGGTCTTTTTCCATTAAGATAATTAGATGTTCTGGTATCTTCTTGAATTCAAGAGTCCAGCTCTTTCCATAGGTTTGAAACATTCTCATCAATTATTTGTTTGAATAGGCTCTCTGTTCCCTTCTCCCTCTCTTCTGGTATACCCATTATTCTTATGTTGCTTTTTCTGATGGAGTCAGATAGTTCTCATAGAGTTCTTTTACTTTTATAAACTGTTCTCGTGCTTCTTCCACCTGTGTCATTTCTAGATTGCTATTTTCAAGCTTGCTAATTCTCTCTTCCATCTCGTCTGCTCTGTTACCAATGCTCTTTAATGCATTTTTTTTCACCTCATTTATTGAGTTCTTCAGCTCCAGAATTTGTTTCGCTCTGTTACCAGTGCTCTTTAATGCATTTTTTTTCACCTCATTTATTAAGTTCTTCAGCTCCAGAATTTGTTTGGTTCTTTTTTTTATGGTTTCAGTCTCTGGCAAAGTACCCCCTTTGTTCGTTGATTTTACTCTTGATCTCATTGAACTGCATTTCTGAGTTCTTGCATCTCGTTTTTTCATAACTGCAATCTTGAATTCTTCGTCATTTAAATCACAGTCTTCCATGTCTTTGAGTTTTGTTTCTGGGGTCTTTTTATTTTCTTTCTGAGTTACCTTGTTATCCTGGTTATTCATGGTACTTGATAGATTGTTTCTCTGCCTAGGCATTTGAGGTATTTGTGAACTCCTTTAAGTACCGTTTTGCTGTTAATTCAGCAGGTTAATAAATAGAGGTCCTTCTTTTGTTCTCCAGTAGATGGTGCTATAGCGCAGATTTTTGTTTTACCTGCACTACTGGCACCTTTCAAATCCTGATGGGACTGTATTGCCTGGGTCATGGAAAACACCCTTTATTCCCCGAAGTGGTACTGGTACCCTTTATGTTCAAGTCACCTCAGTGTCAGGGCAGCACCCCCATGGTGGTGTATCCAGGCAATGGGGTTCCAGGCCTGTGAGTTCCCAGTGCTGCCTCCTTGTAACCAGAAGCTTCCAGCTGCATTTGTGCTATCAGAGGCATCTCTGCTGCTTTTACCAGGTTCCAGTGGCCAGGGGTGGAGGGGAGCAAGTTTGCGTTTCTGTGGCTTTGCCTTCTTGCTGGCAATGGTGGCCACTACTCAGTAGCTCTTACACTGCTGTGCCGCGTCTGCACCCCTTTCACCGGGTTTAGCTGCAGTGGGTGCTGGCTGCTCAGGCGGGAATGTTGCTTCTGCCTCTCTCCCTGTGAGGGCTGCAGCCCTGACTTCTCCACTGCATGTCAGCTGGGGCCGGGTATGCTCCTGACTGTGTGTGTAACGCCATCTCTGTCCTTCCTCTGTCTCACCTCCCCTGCTCGTTTCAGTATGCGTGATTCTCTTCAGATGTGTGGATCTCTCAGATATATGTCTGTGTTGAGCGGGGCATCCTTTATTAAATCATAGTTGTCCAACTTGTAACTAAGGAGAGAAACAAAGGGGTCATCTCACTCCCCCCATGATGCTTTTCATCACAATTCTTACTCTTGAAACATTTTCTTCATTGGGCTTTTAGTGCCCCTCTCTTGGTTCTTCTCTTACTTTAGTCGCAGCTCCTAATTTGCGGGTTTCTCCTTATTTTCTCTAAACATTAGAATAACTCAGTCCTGGGACTTTTCTGCTCTCTTACATTCATTCTTTATCCATGTTGTTTGTGGTTTTTGCTGTGATTGTGGGAGAGGCTGAGTGCCAAATGCATTTCGGATGGGACAGTTCTTTGTATTGTTAGATTTTCAATTCACTGAAGGACACTTAGCACTCCTGCCCTCACCAACTAAAATACCAATAAGTGCTTCTAAGCCATTAGAACTACAACAGCTCCCGTACACTTCCAGATGTTCCGATGGCGCCCAGTTGAGAGCCTCTGCAGCCTAAGTGCTCTCATCAGTCTCATGCCTTTAAATACCATCTATATGCTAATAATTTTCAAATTTTAATCTCCTGTGTTTCTCCCTGATTTCCAAATATCCCTCTTATTCTTCAGCTGAGGAAATGCCATTACTAATGCTTCCAGTTGTTCAAAACTAAAACCCGAGATTCATTTTTGGCTCCTCTCGTCTGATGCCCCACATCTAATCCAGTAGCGTATCCTATCAGCTCTAATCAATCTAAAGTCAGACCAACTTCTCACTCTT